TTTTTGGGCTCGATTTTCCTCCACCACCACCACCACCTTAAAATTATTCTCTGCTACTGGAACTCCAATACCTTTAAGTAAGGTAGCACTGATTTATCCCACATGGGAGAGGAAGAACCATGGAGGGGATGAAACAGTCTCTGGTTTTAGCAGAAGACATTGCCATTGATTTCACATTGTGGTGAAATCACAAGCCAGCTGTGCTTATGCTTGCATGCCATCATTGAGTTAAAATACTTTGATGTCTGGTAATAAAAGACATAACTTACACAGATGCCCTTTCAAAAATATGTTTACTAAAGAGGCTTGAAAGGTTTTCCTGCATCAATTGAAAAACCTTGAAAGAATCAGATGCCTCCTCATTTCACAGCTACCATGAGACATCTGGAGAATCAAATAAAAAGTGACCATGACATACAGCAACATTAAGCTCCAATATTGAAACAAGGACATGCAGAGCGCTTATATTTCAAAATACAATATTTTTAAGTTTCACTAAAGAAGTTCTTATTTGCAAACTGAATTTTCATGGCTACACCACCCTTACATCAAATTTGCTAGAGCAGCATTTTATATGAGGGCAAGGAAACATCCATATCCTTTAATTTTGGAAGCAGATGGGGCTTCTGCTGTGCTAAAAAAGGAGCCAGATAGTTTAAGCATTATCCGTAGAGCTGAGTGCCAGCCCCCCTGCTCTGCTTTGGGACTACTTCTCTCCAAACTCAGCTCTGAAGCGGTCCCAGGCTCCCTCACCGACAGCACAGATCGAAGTCTGAACACAGAAAGTCAAGGGGGAGCTGTGTTTTCCTGGGACAGCCTGTCCCTTTCAACTAGTATCTGACTGACAGTTGCTTGATAGGGGAAACAACCACCACAAGGTATTTGAAATAACATTTTCCTACGAAGAAAACAAACAAATGAACACAAAATGAGAGTGATAAGATTGAAAGCTCATCTATTTGGGAGCAGTAAACAAAGTCAGTCTAAATTAGCGAAGGCTATCAACACACAGGTGAGGTACAAGTGGGGAGAGGCTGTGAATTTAAAGCTTAATTTTAACAGCTCTTACAACTGTCTTTGTGCATCCTCCTGCCACCCAGAAAACAGAAGATAATTTACCCCTCTCACCTGGTGTTTAATTCTTAGCGTGTGCACACAGCCAGCTACCTTTGGTTAGTAATGTTTTGCAAATTCAGTCTGACTCATTTAGCAGTAATTAGTGCATCTGTCCATACACTGGATACAGCACACATCTATGGCAGGAAACCTATCACACATTAAAATCCTGTGGCAGAAACTCAGTATTTCAATTGGGATAAAAATGTTATTTCAGTTTAGCATAATTAACATTCATGGTAAGGTGACCAAAGGCCACTTCAATACTGAATTTAAGTGTTCACAAAAGGATTAAACACTTTTTACTGAAATAAGTGTTAAGTGCCAGATAAGGCTGGCGGTCTACTGCAGACAAACCCCCAGAAATCAGGTACTCAGGAGGCATCACATGCAAGTACTCAAAGAACAAGCAAGTTGTGTGTGGTGGTGTAGCTCCTTCATGTTATCTGCTAAAATGCGGTGTCCTGTTAAAAAAATTAACAGTTACATAAGAAGTAGATTTGTAAGACACCCTCATACTGACTTCTACTTAAGTATTTAATTAAGTATAAACTAGCTATGAAGCTCGGGACTTTGGGATAAATAAAGGTTAAAAAGAAAAGTAAATATCAAATGAAAATCAAATGCAATAAAGGTTATTTTTATTCATTGTGGTATTTTCCCAGGTTAAGCTCTTAGGAATTTTGTAAATGGCATCATCTGTTAACTACTTAAGCCAGATAGCAACCTCTACAAAATATCCCAGTTTTACCAGAGGAACAATGAAAAATGAAGCGATACTGAAATGAAATGAAATTGTTCTCCCACACTTAGGTAAAAGGACCCCTCCCTTATCTGCACGCAGCCAGAGAAATGGACTTAAGTGAAGGTCTCTAGTGCAGGCTGGCATTTTTGGAAGCATATAGATACTTTAGAAGCACTAGTATAATGGAAAATGCTTTCCCTGGTGGCTTCTCAAACCATATGAATACTACTGAAGAGTCCACCCTCCAGAAAGACACAGTTCTTCAATTCAAGGATGTCTGGAAAGCCATCTGCTCAGCACAGACTTGCACTATGTATAATCAGACACCAAGATGCAGAAGCCTTTATGAAATCGTGATTTCCCCACAGGGTGACTTGTTAAGCCTGTGCCAGGGCACACATGCCTTGGTGAAACCACCAGCTGCTCCTCAGAAGACTGCGATGGCATGGTACAGAAGATACCCATAGTAAGCAATTCAGTGTGTGCTGTCATTACTATCACTGCCTGGGGATTTTCTAACAAACAGTTTTGGCTTGGAAAGAACTCTGCTTCTCAAAAGCCAAGCTACCTACTGAAATATAAACACCAATTTAAACAAGAGTGGCATTACATTACCGAGACCTCTCTCTTCCTCCAGTGTGGCTCATGAACACTCCTGTGACAGGAACACCCATCTCGGATCCAAACAAACTTTTTCCTGCTCTTCTCTTCTGAGGTTCTTCTCTGATCAGCAGCACTGTCCTCACTGGTAGGTGGCTGAAAAAAGTTTTCTCTGAGCTCCAGCATTGCTGGATGGAGGTCCCTGCCCCAGTGCCCCCAGTGCTGCCCTGCCACTGGAGGAAGCTGCTGCTCACCTCTGCCAGCTGAGCCAGCTGTGAGACTGCCTCACTCAAAGCTAACTGCTGCTCAAACAATGTCGTTCTTCTTCATTAAAGTTAAAAAACCAGCAACCGCATAAATGTCTTGCGCAAGAAGCCTCAGAGACCAGCAGCATGCAGCTGAAGGGCACTGGCAACAACCAAGACCTCCAACCCAGCCTGAAGCAGAGCTACCACCTCCTGTGTTCAAGGATGCAACCCCGGCCACTCTGCATGAGCGTCTTCCCAAGCTTTCTTACAGGAACTATTTTACTTGATAGGCATAGTCAGTCAACCCTTGGTCCCTCTCCATTCCAACTGAAAGAGTTTTTCTATATGACAATATACCTTTTCTGGCTAAATTAATATTTAGTTATATAATATTAAGAAGCTCAAAAGGTAGAAACAGAGGATGAGCAAAACCTAGAATTCAGTAGGTTATTATAATAATTTCAGCTTATTAATTATTATAGCCTTAGTATTTTTAATCTTTCTCAGACTCAGGCATGATCTGCAGTAAATTACCTTGAGTTTCTGTAACCCAAGCAGATACCAATTATGTAGGCAAGCACACCATTTTATGGTTACAATCCATTAATCCACTTGGTCGCTCCATCGCTATTGATGCTCATCATCCTCGATGCTCATCTCCCCTTTTCCTTCCCCACAGTTGTATTCAGCAGAGCTGATCTATAAAGCCTTTCAGGTCTTATCTGCGGCAGACAAAATCCTTTAAAAAGCTAATCTCAGGTTTTGTTTCATTTGACACTAACACATTAAGCCTCCGAGAACTCTCGGTATTGTGCTGTCAGCTTTCATTTCTCAGTGCTATAGGACTGAAAAGATGAGAATTAAATGGCAAGCCAGGGGTCCTCCATCAGCACCGGTAGATAACCACGGTTCAATCTCACCTCTTCAGTGCATTTTTGAAGGCAGCTGAACAGGCTTTCTCCCTAGATGTGCAAAACTTTGTTTTTCTCTATAGCTGTAATACATCCCTGCTCTGAGGTCCTGCCAGTATTTCATGTAACTCGCAGAAACTCCTCGGGCTCTTCAGTTCAGGCTACAGCTACCAGTTGACATCAACACCAGCCACATCCTTCCCATGCCGAGGGAAACAGCAATTCTTAATGCTTTTCTTGGGCAGTGGTGGTGTTTGCTACCAGCCAGACGAGGCAGCTAGGCGTATTTGCATTTGTCACTCATGACAACAGCCTGCAGCTGATGAAAGATTGTGTTTTCAGCTGGTTTCTTCTGTTCAGACTGCTGTAACAGCACGGAAACGCTGTTCCCAGCTTCTCTCTGTGTACAGTGCTCTCTACCCCGTGAGGCAGGAGGGGGTTCATACTGCCCAAGTACATTCTTGACCCTGGTGGTTCACGGCCCGACGACACAGCACTGAAACAGAGCAAACACGTGCCAAATGCTTCCGCGGCAGAAGAAAGAATTGTACGGACTACTCTTTAATTTCAATATCCATATTGGTTTCTCCCTGGCTTAGCAAAGCCCTGAGAGAGAGGGGGGCTCCCTGTTGTGTGTGAGCAGGCTGCTGGCAGACCTCACACCGCCTGCGGCAGAGTGGCCCCACGGCTGAAAGGCAAGAGCTTTCCAAATAGCCTCGCTCCTGGTGCTGCAAATAATGGGCTTCTGCTAATAACTTGACTTTGTTCCTAGACAGCTATTATAGTCTAACACCAGTCAATCTTTAGTCTGCTTAAAGAGACATCTGACCAGGCAAATACCGTGGCCTCTGCTCAGCACAAATAAAAAGCTGAGATCAGGTTCATTTCATCCATTTCATTTGGCTGCTCAAAATTTCCCCTTGAAAAGCTGCTTATCGAAACCTGGACCAGTACGCAAAATATCGCAGGCAGAGAAAATAGATAAATGTATTTAACTGGAGCACGTTTGTTTAATGTATAACTCTGTATACATCATATCCATTTGTATATATAATGCGTACTGCATCTGTATATAAATGGCTTAGATGTTCCTACAATCAGAATATAAATCAAGAATTTTTATGATGGATTGTCCTGTGATGCTTGAAAGTCAGCCAGGTAGCTACAGGGAAGTTAAGAATTCTTAAATGAGTAAGATTCTTAATGTAAATGAGAATAACTCATTCACAATGCATTTCTAAGTAAACTACCTATACCTACACACACACACACACATATAAAATGCCAAGAAAAGTACGCACAGACAATCTGTGTAACAAATCACACACACATATAAAATGCCAAGAAAAGTATGCACAGACACAGTCTGTGTAACAAACGAACCTGTTTTCAGATTTTAATAGGAAAAAAATCACACAGAGATAATAATCAGTGAGTGCATAATGCCTGTCATATTCCTTTGAGACCGTTCTTTGTAGGATTTTCAGGCTTATAAACAGTGATTTCTTGAGCAGTGTTTATAAAAAACAGGGAAAAAAACTTTCTGCAAATATTTATGCTAGTGAAAAGAAAAAATGAATCACATCTCGCAAGCTTGATAGTTCCTTAATGCATCATGTGTTCCTTTAAGGAAAACAAACATTCAAAAAGCTATGTTTGCTGCTACAATGGAAAATACTGGTGTCTTCTGAAAATGTGTCCCAGTATTATCTCCCAATCCAGAATGAATTCTAGTCTAATCACAGATCACATTACTGGGTAGCTTACTTTAACTTGCAAGAACTAGCAATCCTTTTTCTATAACACCTCACAATGGAATGCTTACTCTGCGTAGGAATAAAGGATGCACCAGTGGGTTTGAAATGGTATTTTAACAAAAGCCGTGTCTGGATTCTAAGCTGCTGTAACTTTTATAGCATCCACATTAGCAAACAAAACAGTGCTATGACTAATTTTTTGTGTTAGACTCAGTCTTTTTGTTTACACAACTTAACCTGAATAGATGTAGCCTGGATAATGGGGAGCTTGTAGAGGACACACTACAGCAAGGCTTTGCAAGCATTTTCACTGCATGAGAACTTCACTCACTCTTGTCCTAAGTGATTTTCAGCTTCCTTTCCTATTCCTGAAGAGTACCTGCAGGGAAGAAACATATTTTTGACTTTTCTCCAAAGAGGCTGTAGAGACAGGGCTGGTTTTCCCTGTGCTATGGACAGCCACACCTGAGCCAGGCACCATACACTTCGTTTAGAGTTAATGGAGAAAAGCAGGCCCTTCTGGCACACATTTCCTCCCACCCCATAGCAGACAGCCAAACCAGATTGCAGAAACCCCGCTGTGAAGTGTTTACTGCTCCCCATTCATTACAAACGGAATTTAGGGGAGCTAGCTCTTATGTTAATCATCATAAACAACAATTAAGCACGGTGAATCCCTAGCGCTGCTGTCCAGCTTAACCAACCCCGTTACCCATCTTCATTAGGTGCTTGCGAAGGGATAGAAAATTCTGCTCAGCAACATATTCTAAGTGTCTTTTCATGATCTCGGCAGTGAGTAGGAAGGAGAAGGAGCCAGCACCATCTGGGCACCCAGCTCACCACGGAGCTCCACCAGGCGCTCCCCGGGACGCGCTCTGAGAGCCGCTGTTACACAACACGGCACCAACAATATTTTCCTTGCATTAGCGTCTGGGGAGGAATCCAGCAGAAACGATGCACAAAAGGCCCTTTACAAGCACACAGACACGGGCCACTCCAGCAGACCTCGAGAAAACAGCTTGGATTAGTGCCTGAGAGGGGAGGAAAAGGCAAAGCGGCGCGGAGAGCCATTCATCTCCGGCTGGGAACAGACCTAAGGTCGGCCTCAGTTCACACCTGACCAACAAATTATTTGCGTAAAGGCATGTTTACTTCTAGCATACATTCAGCCACTAAAATCTCTTGATGTCGTGCTAAATATTTTGTCTCTGGTACAGCCAGGTCTCAAACTGCATGGAGCCATTTATTGCGTGTTCTTTAATGCTCCTTAATAAACACCACATGTTTAATAGTGCCAGCAATTTTAAATACTATATCGGTGACATTTTCAAAGTGCTCCCCTGCTAGGAAAGACTGTCTGGGAATAGTTAGAGAGCAGTCACCAGGTCCCATCCAGTCAAGCCAACATGAGTCCAGGAGAAGGGGAATCAACACAAACCTTTGTATTAGGTTTGTAACAACATTTGGAAAGTAGGTTTGTCCTGACATGAACTTCCTTCAAAACGCAGAGCTCCTGATCCCACGCAAATTGGCCTTGACATTTAAGCAAACTCAAATTTCAGAAGAGTTTATATGCGACTTGAGTAGACACATCAAAATATTTTTCTCTCCATACATCCTTATTCAAGGCTCGCCAAAAAATTATTTTATGTGGCTGTGGAGCTGTATTTAACTTCACCGAAGTGTATCAGGCAAAGAACTAGGACAGGAAGAACACCTTCCCTTATTTTAGATATATGGCTTCAGCTTGGACCGCAGGACTGCAGTTTTGTCTCTGAGAGCAGAGATTTATGTGGCTGTATGCACTTGAGCATATTCACTCTGTTGACTCTCTGAGGTACACAGCAAGTTTCAGAGCGGATGGGCACAAGCTGTACCTTCGAGTTTAAGGCTCCAAGTGCAATACCATTAGATAATTTTAATTTATGCGGCTTTGGAATTGCCACTTTACACAACCTGCAATACAAATTCCCTCTCAAGTTTTCTTCCCATCACACCTCAGCACTTGGGACACATGGATGCCCTGCACCTGGATAATGCAGATCCAGAATAATCACTGTCATCGTCTCACCGCATCATCACCCCGAGAGACAGGAGTCCGTACTGCAACAATGCTTCGTGCATCTGTCTGTTATGGGCGATATTCAAATTCAACCTGATCTGGGACGTGATTCAGTGAAGAGTGAACTTCTTCCTGGCAGAAGGAAGCAGGAACACATAAGCCAAAGCCATTCCCATCACTTCACCTGCATATCTGATGAGGAAGGTGGCGGGTGCTGAGACAGTGAAGCAAAAAAAATAAAATACAGTATCTTCCCCTGAAGGAAGAGAAATGGAAATGAAGACTGTGATGTTTTTTGCTTTGAATCCACATAAAGGCCTCTGTAATCTCCATAAGCTCCATAACCACTATAGTTGGCAGATAAAATTACTGACAGAAGTCCATGGCTGTGGGACAGATTAGGGTGTGTGCAAGATGCAAGACAGAAGAAGGAATTATCCGCCTTGTTTATTGCTGTCCTTCCCCAGGCATCAAGTAGGACCACAATCCAAACTCAACAGTTCTTTAGTCTGATACTCAGTTTGTCCCTCTTAAATTCCAATTAAAAGATCTATGAATTAAGACTGTTATGTTCTCAGATTTACATCTTGGAAAAGACACTGTGATGCTAGAAATCACCAATGAGCAAAGATAAGCTTTCCCCGCCCCAAATCCCAGCCTAACTGCAGCTGTGAGATATTTTAAATATTGAAATATTTAGAGACTAGACTTTATGGCCTAATTTTCCAGGTACAGGCCCCTTTAATTCTGATTTTAATTAACAAGAGGATACACTGGCAAAAATAATTACTGCTCCTTCTTGATTACAGTGAAGGAAATAGACTTTCTGTAGGCTCAGACCCCAGTCTCATGATTCTTTTATAGCTGAACAGAAGAATCTACAACAGACAGAGGTCATGCTGACTACAGCCCTGAGAACAACACTATTTCTTACTGACTTCTTTTGTCCTCTAAAAAAAATAAATTTAAATCCTTATTCCACCAGCCTAATATTTGATCTGGCCAGAGTAACACTACGGTAGTTGAATAAATGACCCATAAATTTTCAGTAATATACACTTGTTTCATGTTTAAAAGCCCTCATATAAAATTTCATTACCCCATAACTTTTCTGTAGTATGTTGGTTAACGTAAGGAGAGCTCTCGCCAAGTAAAATACAGTTATGTCGTTTTTATTATTCTCCTTCAAGTAATCAGACTTTCAGTCCTGATGTAAGAGGGCATATCTTAATCGCGGTCATTAGGGTTTCTCTTTAGCTCTTGATGTTGAAAGCTAGAAAGATGAAACCTGTTAGATGAAAGAGAATGTCAGTGTTTGATGTATAACCCTCCTTCTCACTCCCATTCCTTGACCGTAAAATTTATATCCATGGAAAATCAGGACATTTTTCTAGCAGTATTATCGAGCTTTTATTCCCCAAGCTTTGCTATACATTTCACCAAAGAAATTATGAGGTTAATTTATATTTACTCTAAATCAATATGTTAATGACTCTACAGTCTTTATGCGTCTAGCAGAATTAATGAGAGAAAAAGAAAATACATCTCTCAACCTTTATATTTTCTGTATGCTAAACATCTATAAAAATTGTTTAAAAGAAACGAAAGACAGAATCTTTTTGGAAGTGTTGGTTAATGTGCATGAAGTGAAGCCAGAAAATCTACTGCATTATTGTTAATACTTAATAACTTACATATATATTTCTCTGGGTGAGAGTTTAGACAAATGCATACAATGATCCAGCAAAACAGAATACAAACCACCAGTCGTCAGTGTCAATGAGGACGCGGCTTCAGTAAACTGTTCCATTTCCTGCATCCTTTTCTCCTGGAGAAGACACAAACATTTATGTTGACAATCAGTTACACAATCACCAAATTGTAAGCTGTCAAATTCACATCTTTCAGGAAGGTACTTGGGCAAAAAGGAGCATAAATCAGCTTTATTATTGATTTGCTATGTATTGCAAATGCCTACAAACATGCACACAATCAGTCGTGTCTCAGCTGCTGATTCAACTAAGCAGGCTCAACACTGCTTCCGATTACATGAACATATCTGACTGTTCTCTTATTCTCTCACCTTCTCTGGCTCACTGGATAATGGTTTAATACAAAGTAGAACAGCTTCAACACACAACCTTCAGACAAAGAACTTTTCATCTCCTTTCTCCAAAGTGGAAGCAGATGTGGGTTCAAATCTCTCTTTCAAATCAGTCAGTCCAAGAAGAAGCTGGACCCCAGGCTTACCATACTTCTGGGAAGTTGTCCAAGTGGAGGGTTAATAGCTATTCTAAGAGGTCTTTCCTTTTCTCCTTATGGAATGAAAAACAAGACTTAAGCTGGAGAACTTATGCAGGACTTTGGCCAAGCTAAAACTTGAATGAATCTATTGGTTTCTGTCCAGACCTTTTAAATGCTTTTAAACAGCACTCACCCGGTCTAAGTTAATTCCCTTGGGTTTGAGGCTACACCTATAATAACAAAATATAATTTAAAGGTGGACCAAGGTTGCTATGATTGTCCATATTGCTAAATTATTAGCTTCTCTAGCACAGCTTTGCCTTATGCCAACTACTAATCTCCCAGGCAATGACCATGCTAGGAAATAGACAAGACCGCACTGGGGAGAGGAAAAAGCCAGATGCAAAATGTGCCATGTCACTTGCCATCAAAGCCCCAACCCTGGCCTGGGCACACTTTTTTACTAGAGCAGGCGTGGCCAGCTTGCCTTTCCTGGGTACTTTACACTATGCCAGGCTGTCTTTGCTCAGCAACAGGTGATCTAGAAGTTCAATCTTGCAAAAGACAAATGTCTGTGGCAAAACAGTTTTTACTTTCTCTGTGTCTACCTTCATTATATATACAATGGGATAAATTTTAATTCTTTTTCCCTTTGTTGGTACAAATAAGCAGACTGTACACTTCAATGTATACCCAGCGTCTGGCAATAGCCCAGTTATATATAGTATATATATTATATATGTACATATAATCATCATGTATATATATGGAGATGCATATATATATATTATGTATACTACAGGTGAAAAATTCATCTCAGGAATCTGGGAATACTTCCATTATCTTGAAACCTTGGAAAGACAAGAGATGTGAACTACGGTTAGCATTTGCCCCAGATGCAAAGAAAGATCCTTGATTAGCGTGTATTTAGGCACAAGAACAAAGAGGTCAAATAACATGATGCTTTTAGGTTGGCCTTTTGAGGGACTGCACATAAAAATGTGTTTGATAGATAAAACGAGTACTATTGATCATGAAAGAAAAAGAAACGAGCCCTTTACATCCAGGGGCATTTGCCAACACTGTTACCTTGGTTTAGAAAAAAGAATATTCACATATGGGGAAAACAGGTTCATTGGGAACATGCCAGGATGAAATTAAAGCAGCAAAAGAGTAGGAAGCTTTCAACAAATCACAAAGTGAGAAAAGGCAGCACCTTCTCATCTGTGTGGTTGCCATCTGGGGAAATTTTTTTATCCTGTTCTTTAAAGCAGCAAAAGATTTTGCAATGCTGACTGAAAAAGCAAACAGACAATAATCACCTTCTTTGCAAAATGCAAGCAGAGCTTCCAGAAGCATTGCCCGGGACCCTCCGTGCTGAGGCAGGTGAAGGTGAGGGACCAGCTTCTGGAGAAGCCAGATATGCTATGGGGCAGCTCTGGGTTTTTTCTGGGACACTGCAATTTGTGTTCCTGATCCATGCCCGAGGCCAAAAAGTGGCACTAGTTTCACAAGTTGTTCTGCATATCACTGTGAAACATTCCTTCTGCTAGTCTAGTCCTAAACCATGAGCTGAATTTTAGCTCCATGCTAAGTGGAAATGAAAATTAATCAATCAGCAGTGAGGTGCCTTTTTTTTTTTTTTTAAGTTTTAAACACTCTATTGTGAGCTTTCTTACAAGCAGATCTAAAATAGAGCAAATCAAATTTAGTTTTTGTGGGGGAAAAAAGAACAGCAGGTTTCCTTTTTACTTCCTCGGCAGTAAAACACATAGAAAATTAACTGTACATTTATAATACAAAGCAGCAAAACGCCAGAAAGTAAGACTGACAGAAAGAATGCCTCTAGAAAGATGACTCAGTTACTTGACTTCCTGAACAAAGCAGAATTTTATTCAAGTTTCTGCTCCAATCTGGGCATACCAGGGCAGGTCACCCATGTACCCCAAAAAGCGCTGTATCCCGAAAGCCAGTGCCTCCTCCTTGGGTAATGCCTTTTCCTGCTAACTATGCAGCTGAAATCCTGGCTACCTTGAAGCCTGTGGCAATCCTTTTACTGAAACAGAATAATGGTATAGTGTTATTAGACATATAAACTGCTATTACATTAGGCTTATGAAAGGAGACGTAGGGTGTTTAGCAATTTTGAAAACTGTACCTTTTATTTAGGTGCTAAGTATCATACAGTCTCCTTAGCATAATTATTTTTCATCTCTTCTGCTATTTCCTAACTCTGTTTTCCTTTAGTTACTGAAAAACAGTTTGCCTGTTTTCAGTATTGTGATGTCCAGAATTGAAAACAGGGTCCTTCTGGTCCCAAAAAGTCACATAAAAAGGAAGCGTATCTTCTAAATCCAAGTTTAAATATCCTCATGTCTTACTACTGGAGACACATAAAAAGATCTTTTCTCCGATAATTCACCGTCCACTCCTTTTTTGGGGGGGATAGGGGGAGCTGGACAGTTTTATGGTTAAAATTCATATCAGGACTAAAGTAAAACAACTTCTTTTCCTGATGTGCTGGAGGGGACTTTTATGTGCTTCAATCTGGAAGGAGTACCATGGCTTCACTTGATGAATGCCGCTTGGAACAGCTTGTCCGGTTTAAGCCAGGAAATTGTTTCTTTTAAGAATGCTCTGCTCTCTGAAGAATACATCTACGCCTGTGACAGTCTCTCAGCTGTAAAAATCTATAGAATAATGCCATTGTGTTATAACACAATGTATTATGAAGATAAGTTCTCGGCTGTTTTGGAGTTGCACAAGTACTGAGATGAGAATCATTACAGAAATCTAATCATAAAGTAACTAAACTTGCTACTCTGCCATTCCGTGTTGAGTGTAAAAGATGTCCCTACCACCGAGTTTTGCATTGTTTGGACTATTTCTTTTTCCTCTTGCATTAGACGGTGTGGAATCAACTCTTTGCTAACTTCTGCAGGTATTCTGAATTTTCCTGTTTGACTTATTTCTCCATCTCTTTCAAATTTAACATTATCTGCAAAAATCATTAATGTTGCAGGCTTCCTTTTTAATGGTAAAAATGCAGGATAGAAATAAATGTCTTTGAAGGGAAATGCATAAAATAACAGCTTTCAGTGAAAAAAAATTGAATTTTTTTGCAATATATCACTGACCAGAATTATTTGTAGTTCTGCGTAGGAATACTGGATATACATAAACTGTTGATAGGAACACCACAGTCAGGCAGATTGCACATGCCCATCTCTTACCTGGCAAGACCTGATTCAGTGGATTGAAGCCAAAGATAAACCTAATCTAGCACATCTTTGCTGACATTCATTGAAATTCTGGCGTCATACATTAACCATCTGCTGAAATGATTTCATGACATAAGAATATCCAAAGCTTCTAAGGAGTAATACATTAAATTTATCAGCACATATGTTCAAAGAATTTAAGGCCAGAAACTTTGTAAATATTGAAAGCACATTTACTTAGTGACTCCAATGTCATTTATCATAGCTGGGTCTTCTTTCAAAGTGTATGATTCTCAAATGCCAAACTAAGCAGTGCAAATCACATTTATTTTGGAGTGGACTTCGAATGGCCTCTGTCTTGTGCCACAAATTGGTAAGGCAAAACTAAGAGCACAAAACAAAATCAGTTTGAAACACCCATTTGAAACTGTACATATGACCCCAAAATAGATTTCCGATTCATTAAGTTTATTACTCGTGTATAACTGGTGTTGTCCCCTGACTTCACAATGTAAGACACAAGGAAACAAAACCAATTTTATCTCTTGAAGTAAATTAGAGACAAAGATTATTTTACTTCTATTTCCACAGGACTATCCTACCTGCCAAACAGTATTTGCCCAGCACTGACTTTTTTTTCTCCTGTTGTTAAATGGGTAAATGTAATATAGTAACTGGGCTCATTTTGTAATAAAACAGTCCAAAAATGTAAACTAGAATCTCTTCACAAAGCTGTACTGATCTTTGTGGACTGTGGGTGTACTTGACCTTTCTAGATATTTCTAACATCCTCTCATGTTCCTCTACAGAATTAGCACTGAAGCAATTCTAGATACAGTATGACATGATGGCAATTAAATAGGATCAAACATTCAAAAAGTAATAGTGGACATGGATACCATGATAGCCCTCTGTGCTGTCTAATAAGCAGTGTAGAGAAAATAGAGGAAGAGTCTGAGGGAAAAATAGCGTGTTCCGACTCTGACACTGCTGCTCTTGTTCTCTGCTTGATACCCTTTCTTTTTTGTAAGTACCAGATAATCAATGCTTCAGGTCAAAAAAAAATGTTACTTTTAATTATTTTCACAGCTATTTCAATTACGATCAAACAGAACAGAAGTGAGTTTAATTGCCTTAATGCTTCGAGTTTTAGAAGATTAGCTCTAGAAGCATCTAAATGCACATCCTCCCCTGCTTTCTCCTCGCTCCCTGGGAAGAGGGAGTTATTCTCCAGCCTCCCCCAGCAATAAATTAAAGTATCCCCCTACTGGCACAAGATTGCTTCCTTGCCATGCTGCTCCAGAAAGAGAGTAAGCAGGTGCAGATATAACCTTCAATTAAGCGTATTATAGAGCACCACCTGTGTGTACCTTGGAGATGATGTTCAGCAATCAGACAGCATGATGCCTTAGCTCAGACTGACCACCTGTAGGCTCAGAGGAGCAACGTTATCCAAAAAGTGCACTTACCCACCCTTAAGGATTTTCCTCCTTTCCACACTGGGCAGAAAGCTGAGAACCTACACATTTCCTCCAATCACCTGAAACCTCTTTTGAGACATTCAGAATATATCATACTTGGTTTCTCAAAAACATTATCATAAAGATGTCTGAGCTAAAATGAATCATCCTTTTACAAAAAAAAGTAAAAGAAATCAAGGAGCTGATTTCAGAAATCAAGTGATATGGGGTTATTTTGATAAATCATGAAAAGATGTAAACATTTTTCAAGCTGGAAAAGGTTGTTTTTCCAAGAATTTGCCACAGTTTTGATGAACTGACACTTTATGATGGCAGAATGAGAAGTTCAAAGAGCATTTTCAAATATCCCTGGTAGAAGGATCTCATCCTACCTCTCAGTTGCCAAATATACAATTTAGGCAACTTTCTACTTCTGATTCTCATATGGTGTTTAAAACCAAACTTTGTGTTGCTTAAACTTCACCTATCACTTCTAACACAAAACTACATTAATTCCTAAATTGGGCACTGATGGAAAAATCTCTTTATCTAATGTGTAATTGATAGCACAGTGTAGCAAGGGTCTCCGTTTCATTTTGATTATGCGCCCCCAACTTCGCGCTGTTTCTAAATAAAATGGCAATTCTCCAGAGAAGTGTCATAGCTTAATTGTCACTTTTCTCTTGAACTGTGATAAATATAGAGTAATGTAATTAATGCAGCAGCAAGAAAAGTGCTGCTCCTCGAGGAGAAGAATTCATAAGTTCCCTTGTGTTGTCCTAGCAACTTTGCAGAGTTGACATAGATTCCTCTCTTTGAAGGAGGAGTAGGTACATGTCAGTTCTGAAACACTGGTGTTAACTGCCATCAAATTACCTTTAGCACTGAATAGAATAAAATACTGTTTTTGCGATATGACTTTAAAAAAAAAAGTCTTGCATGCTAAAATAGGTAAGCAAGCATATGAAATTAGTCCCACTCAAAGTTCACCGAAGTCAACAGAAACAGGCTTGTCCACATCAATTAATTTTAGCTAAAAGAACAGACCTTTAAAGGTATGTAGACAGCCAAATCCCTTCATAATCCCCTCAATATACAAGAGAATTAAGTATCAACATACTTCAAAAACTTTGGTCCTGCATCACTAATGGGAAAATAAACATCATGCTTACTGGCATACAAAAATGTCTGTGTGTTTCTGGAGATCATACAGTAACCCAGAAGACAAAGTAAAACGTGCAGTGGTATTGCATACCACTGACTTTGACCATTCCTCCTTCTCTGCTGTGGATTCTTAGGGTTGGGCTGCTATGGGTTGTTTGTCTTGGACAACACTATTTACTGATGTGAGCATCTCCTGGCATTCAAAGTACACAGCACACCACTGTCAGAGCATTCTTCTTGTTTTGGTGGACAAGTTCTTGTTCCTCCTGCTGGGAAGCCCCCAGGAAAAGTTTTAGACAGACAAATTTTGTGTTAACATCAAATGAAGCCTGTGGTTTTGTACTCTCTACGTAGTTTCATTTTCCCTTCCCAGATCTGCAAGAGCTCCCTGTTCATCTTGCCAGCACATGCTTCAGCCATGCTATTCCTTTGCTTTTTCTAGTATTTTGTTTATTTTAAGGATTTCCCTTTGGTGCTTTTTTTTTTTTTCCTTGAAAAGGCACCAAATCTCTTGGCTTAGACAATTCCTCCTCCACCTGTGTGACAGCTGCAGCTTGAATCCAGCATTCTCTGGGGACAGCCCATTCTTCCTCAGTTCCAAGCTGCCTCTCACCCACCTCCGACAATGCCTCAGAAGGGCTCAGATTTGAATTTCTCCCTGCTGTCTCTTTGGTTCTCAGTGGTAAGCTGTTGATTTTCACTGCCCCTTTCTGGTTAAAGTAGATTCAGTTTTATTTTCTGCCAATACAAAGATAGAAGTTGCTGCTCTTACCAGATGCTCAATCTATCCCCAAATCAAGGGCAAATTGTTCTGAATTTCAATTATATGCAGGTTGATTTAACTTTGAAGGGGCACTAAAATACTGGCAAAAATAATAATTATATCATTCTCCTGCTCCACGTGTTGTCACCTTGCTCTTACTGCTCATTTGCTATAAACTGTATTTAATATTCTTTAGTTACACAAGACAAACAAATTTAATTTAGAGGAGGAGATACTTCGGTTAAACTGGTATTAAGCAGCACGTTAAGTACTAACAGTTATTTGGTTCTTTTTTTCCATTGAAAACAGTATTAAAATAAAAAAGGTCTCCTATGACAAATAATTTCTGCAGATAAGCCTTTTTCAATGATAAAAATATTTTGATGACTTGTTCAAAATTTTTTGTCCACATCAATGATATGCTATAGCTACCCAAGGAGATATCTGCCTCTGCTGTATATTTTTAACAAATCCAGAACATTGCTAATTGGTTCACATACCTTCAAGAAAGGCAAGTAAGACAGTCAGCATGATTACAATTAGTCTAATGTGGGCAAATTCTCAATTAAATCCTGTATCAGTCTATCAATTAAAAAATAAGTGTTGGAATATAATTACAGCCAGTGATGATGATTTTACAGAAAGCAGATCTTATTGACCTAGTATTATTTAATTGTTGGATGAGGTCACAATCTTCATTAAAAAGGTAACTGTGAGGATATATTTAGACTTTTATTAGGCATTTGACTTATGCATAACTGTATGATAATCTGATCTAAAAATTAACACTATACATTATTAATAAAGCACACATTAAGTGAATTAAAAAATGGCCCACGAATCTCTAGAAATAGTCACAAAAGGGAAAACACTGTGGAACCGAAGTAATTTTTAATATGATTCCTCAGGGTAGGCACTGGACTTCAGAATACATAACATTTTCATGAATGATTTTGAAATAAGGTTAGTGCAATCTTAAAATAATTACAGCCAAGAAAAAAAAAAGCAAAATGAAACAGTTATATAGAATGATCTGAAGTAATTCAGCATGTAAGACAATTAAGCCCACAAAGTATTTTATTAAAATCACATTCACATTATACATCTAGAAAGAAAAGTGCAAATCACACCTACAAAATGGAGGGTGCACTGGCAAAGCAATGACTTAAAATGAATCTAGAGTTAAAATGGAAAAACAAATGATAAACAAAATTATTTCGTCATTATAGTCTCTGAGTGCTACAAAGACACAAGAAAGGCTAATACGTTCCTTCAGTATATGAACCTAAGAAAACCAAGATTTTACTTCAGTGTATTTATTGATGGCACTAACATGGAAATACTGCTTCCAATTTTGGTGTCCACATTTGGAAAATCATGGCACAAAGCTGAAGAGACACAAACATGAGAGAATTAAAAGCTTATATTGCCTACCTTCTCAAGAAGAGCCCTATGAGGATGCTGAGTCAGAGCAAGATCTGTAATCAAGCAGAGGCAAATGAAGAAGCAGGAGTAGATAGGTCAAGTCGAACAAATTCAAATTGGAAACAAAACTAAGCTTCAACTGCAGGAGTGATTAAGCACCAAGACCTTCAAATCAAGACAGAGTACATCTTTGGAAGAAAGTCACAGACCTTTTACAACCCTTACTCTACCAATCTATTATAGCTTAATGAAGAAGCAATCAAAGGTAATAGGGATCCAGCTTGAAGCTCACTGCCATCTGAAGACTTTTCCCATTGAGCTAAGGACCACAAAAAAAGAAAGACTGTGACATTTATGAAGTTTTTAAATCTTTAAAGTAACACTTGAAACTGAAACAGAAGGTTCACTTTCTTCAGCTCAGCCCATTCTTTTCTCTGGTTTGGGGCATTTATTTGCAAGGAGCGTTAAGCAAAGACGACAGTCATGCCACAGCATAAAAGACACACAGCCTCTACTCTGTGTGTGCCAGAAATAGACATATTAGGCCAGATTCTCTATTAACATAAAACATTGTAGGCACATTGTTTTGGCTCAGTTGCACAGGAAAAAATGCAATTCCCAAAATCAGGGTTTTGTCAGACATGACTTTCACATGACCTAGAAAAAGCATTAACATATTCCTCAAATAGCTGCAAGATGCCACAAAAAGATTTTGTGATGCTGTTCAAGTGGCCTGGATAAGGCTTTCCAGGTAAGTGTGAAAGAAGCCATAAGAAATTTTAAAGTGTGCATAAGATCTATTAATTCAAATAATCCAACTCAGCTAACAATCGCTCCTTGCCTCCATAAGGCCCAGATTACATCAGAAACACCCCACATCTGATGTTCAACTTGCATGTTAAAAAGTAAAATCTATTCCAGTTTGGGCTACTCAATTGTTGTAGCAGTCTGCTAATTCTAAGGAAGGATCTAATTAGGATCACTGTAAAGAGCCTGTGAAGGCAAAAATCCAGTCTCTCCCTTCAAAAGATAACATTTCCTAGACCTACCTGTGTTAGGAGAAATCAACCAAAACTCACATATCTTGTCACTAAACTGTAACTCCAACAGTCTTGGTCTATTAGAAATGAGTCACTGAAAAATCCAAAGAGCAATACGTGGGCTTGGGGGAAGAAAAGAACCACAAGAAATTATTATTCATGGTACTAAATCGCTCAGTTGAGGATCCACGCAAGGAGACGAGAGCAAACCCTTGCCAAGAAAGCCATCCATTGCGAATGCAGGATGGGGTGGGGGTACCCAGTCTGGCTTCCCTGACTCCCTCACCGTCATGAGTTTTGATAAATGACAGACAGCAGCCTCAGAGTCACTGCGCCAGCACCCTCAGGTGAATTCCAACCGCCCCCTCCACACCCTCCCCCCCAAGATTTTAAGAAAATCAGCCTTTCTATTGCTCACCTCTGTTGGTTGCCATCTCCTTCCCAAACCGCAGCAGCACATGCAGAAGTCAGGGAGAAAGCTTGCCTATGAATAGTGAAGAAAAAACAGTTTTGAGAATTTCAGCTTTCTCCTCGTTGTCTGTCACTAGCCTCTTGTTCGCCAACAGGCACATTTTTTCCTAAATTTCTTTTAGTAGCTAGCACATTTTTGGAATCCATTCTTACGATCTTTAATGTTCCCTGCTAGTTTCAGCTGCAGCTGGGCTTTGTCATTTCTAATTTTGTCTCTAAGTACCCAAGCAATGCTTTTACATTCTTCCTTTGTTTTTTTTTTTACTGCTGTCCACCTTTTCCTAAATTAACTTCTGGAGAAACCTTTATTCACCCCAATGATCCAGCCTCCCGTGTCATCAGGGTAAAAATTAAATGCATACGTACATAAAGGACGTTGAAACAGTGTGGTGGTGAGCATGAATATGATATGAATATACAGACAGACATGAATACACAGATGATAAAACAGCCTTCGCTGTTTATTTAAATAGCCCTTTGAAGTCACCGTTACACATCGCTACGAGGTTAGCTGCAGGAGCACACAACTTTGCACAGAATCCAAATTAGGAAAAAGTATGATTGCCAGACTCATTGAAACCCTTGTCCATCTGCTTCAGTATCCTCCATCTCACAAGGGGTAACAGATGTTTCAAAGTAAGACAACCCCATTAAGGGCAACTATAGGACAACATGATCTTTGAGAAATCAGTTTCCTCCACTTAGATATATAAAGGCTGTCTTATGTCCTGAAGCGTGCAGTTTTATGTCCTTTTTCCTTCATAAAGTCTTTTTTATTTTAATTTCCTCTAATATATCAGGAGATTTTCTTATTATCTACTACCCTTTTTTGATCCTATTAAGCTTCTGGCTGCAATGATATCAAGAGACAGTAGGGTTCAGAGGTTAATTGTGCCTTGTATTTGAAAAGTACTTCCTTTTTTCCATTTTAACTGTGTTCATTTTTAAATAATGCTAAAATAGAAACTGCAAAAAAAAATTAATCTATAGCTCCATTTAAAATAAAAATGAAAGAAAAGAGAGTGTTAAATTATGGCACTCAAATAATTCTTTCCTGTAAGCCTTGGGGAAAACTTGATGGCACTGAGAAGTTAATGTAAATTGCCACTGTTAAGGTTAGATTAGAAAAAAAAATATTAAAAAATAACTCTTTTAATCAGCCCCTCAGCTGGTGTGAATCAGTTTAGTTCTTTGGGAGTTATTGAGCTTCTTGTGATTTATATCACCTGAATATCATGCCCTTTGATCTTTAAATACCTAATAATTTTTTTATGGATCTCCTGCGGCCTTCTGTTAATGTATGTGCATCCTTAAGTCACGGCGTACAGAACCAGACCTTCTACTCCACCTTCGGTCTCACCTCCTGCTTCCTATGAATTATCTTCCTGATCATATACCCCAGAATTAGATTTATCCCTCTTTTGCAGCAAACACCATCGGTCTCTATTCAGTTTGTGACCCATCATTATATCATCACCCAGTCAGTAACTCCCCATGTTGTATTAATAACCCCCCCTCCCTGCTGACAAACACACATCTTTCCCCATGTATTTAGCACTTGAACTTACTGGATTTCATCTCACTGATTTCAAATCGCTTATGCAATTAATCAAGATAATTTGAAATTATAATTGTGCCTCTCCCTTTCATTCTTCCTCCAGGAACTGCCTCCTGCCAGCCAGGGAATGTCCCTTCTAGCTACAAACTCACTTCTGCATCAGAATAATTTCATTCAAGGAATGTAACAAATAGCACAACACTGGCCCATTATACAGCCACTCTGGGACTTGCTATACCAAAGCTCAAAAGAGTTTAAGATTTTGCTTCCTCTTTGATAATATACATACCACTGCACTGAGCATTTAAGACCTACCTACAGAATTTGTTTTGGTACTGAACATGTACTAATCCATCTTCTGTATTCACACACGCAGTGATTCTATCCATTTCGTGAAAAAGCACACATGTAACTGAAGTCATTCACCCATTTTCGCTCATCCCTACCTTTAATTATTCATTCTTGTTATTAATACAGTTGTCAAAATTCACATTAAAAACCCTTACCTTCTCCATTTTAAGCACTCATTTACCACCATCCACTCCAAAATGCTCACAGTATCTTCCATGAGGCATAGTCTGAAAATGTAATAAGCATAACTTTTATTCCATCATTCACATTTTATAAAAAATTACAGATTAGGATTCTAAAACTAGCACTTTGTGCACAAGGACTTTTAATGCAACCTTCAGGCCTAATGTGTCTCTAGAGGTTGTATTTCAACCAGCTAGGAACAAACTTTATGCTATTTTCACCTACCTGGGCTTACCTCATGTAGATGAGTCTAAGCGTAAGTATCTTGTGCTGTTTGAGATATCCTAGGACAGGTGGTACGTTTACACAAGATATGACAAAACTCCCCTGGGTCACAAGCTGGAGACCTGGTGAGGTACCAGGAGATGAGATGAGTCAACCATATCTCAAATGGCACTTCATGTTTAGGCAACTGAAATGTTCTCTATATATTTCCCTGTCTTATTATAAATACATCATGTAATGTGTCAGCGCCTGCTTATGTATAAGCCTGGATTCTTCTTAAGGATGCTTCCATATGGAGAAAGACTATATTGCAGCTATATTCTTCTTTTCTGAAAGAAACAGTTTTATGCCTCCCATCTACATTTGCTTTTGACAGTTAATGAGTCAAAGGAGAATTATTCAAAGCTGCTTGACTTATGCTAAAAAAAGTCTGAAATAAAAGAACTGAGCACACACCGATCTCATCTCTGCCTGCACACCTTCCACTTGCTAAGGGAAAACGCTGAAAGGGTTGACATACTCAGTAATAAAAATTTCAGTCTATTTTCAGTGTCAGCCAGCCAGTAACCACAACTACTCCTGCGGATGTATACTGTGCGATGTAGGCAGTAATTATTTCTTTCAGAAAGATCCAAGGAATACAAGTGCAATCCTGCTTTTCATCCTCTTTAAAATAGCCTTTGGTTGTGCTCACCTACTGGGATCTATCTTATTTCCCTTTCTCTTCAACACCCACTTGGAGGAGGAAACATAGCCTATAGGTTTCTCTGTCCAGCACATACAGCTGATGCCCTGTTTTACTCTCCACAAATGTAGACATAGCTATCTGCAAAATATCACAAAGCTTGGCAGAAATTAGTTCCTGTGCAAAGAGCAGCAAACTCATCCTGACCTACAGAAGGTCTAACAATGATCCACAGAAGAAAGTACTTCAAAGAACTACCTGGGGCATAACCTGTTTCTTTCATCAGAAACATCAGACTCCTATTCATCAAAACGGTGTGAAGCTGCCAGATTCTGTTCCATCGCTGATTAAACATTAACTATCATCATTTGTGGAGGAAACACACATAAAAAGCCATTTCCCATTAAGTGCACGCATTTAAGAATAGTATTTCCAGCCAAAGCTGATTGCCTGTTGACAAAATTACAAAATATGTCTGGATTTTACAAAATTAAGCCCTAATCTACTGAAGTGCAGAGGTGGAGTGCTGTGATTGATGAGTAATGGCAGCAAAGGGACATGAACCCGCATCAAGGCTTGATCCTGCATCTCAAAAAAGTTAAAAGAAAATAGCTCATTGCCTTTGCAGGTCCCTTAATAAAGAGTCCTTCTTCTGGACTCAGAGGAGAAAAAAAAAAGGTGATTTTCCCTTTTTCGATAACACCAAAATCTGGCTGTAAATGAGGCATGGGAGCAGCAGGGCTTCCCATCCAGCTGCAGAGGTACCTCCACCTTTGTGGTCAAAGTGATGACCCTAGGGCAGATTCCAACCATGATGCACTGAAGTATGGCTCCACAGACCTGTCTCCCTGTTGACAGTGATGTGATACATCAGCACTGGAACTTTCTTTCATGACCATCAAATGCCATTTTACTGGGCTAAAGTATTTCTTTTTATTATTAAAGTTAGAATTCCTCTACCCAGAAGTCAATCTTTGGCTAAACTGCTGGCTATAGATGTTCCTTCTCCAGTTGCCCAGGAGAGCACTGCTGCTTCTTGGTTGGCTGTTCTTATGGTAGACAACATCAACATCACCCATTTTCTCTCACTCTCATCATCCCATTAATGCTTCCTAATCTCTTTATGAACCTTTCAAAAGTCCTAGATGATGCAGCATCATCAAAGAAATAAACAAATGATGGCAGTACAAACTGAAAGAACTCCCTATATATATCCAAAGAATAAATATTTTCTGAGGGAAGCATCAATGTTTAAACAGAGGGAGTGTTTCAGTGACTGAGACACCATGCAAATCAGCTTCGCAAGCTCTGTGTCAGATGCAAATTGACGTTAAATACCTGGTGGCAAAGAGTAAGAAAGATGACAAGCTCCCTATTGCGGTAAGTTAAGCTACCAGTAATTACATGCCTGAGACACTTTAACGAGGTAACTTGGGCTGTGCTCAGCCAGCATCTTGCTGATTGCCCTTTCTTGCAGAACATCTGTAAGCAAAATGGCACCTCTGCTAGTTTTGCTGCAACACTAGGAGTTTAGTGGTTAGCTGCTCACTTTTAGACTGCTGTTTTGAGGGCATGAAGTTCATAAATATCTTTAAACACCTTTCCCTATGGCAATGGTCATTTTACCTCCAAAAGTCGACTGAGGGAAAAAAAAAAGAAAGAGTTCACAAAGGCTGTACCATAAAGACACTTCTTCACATATGGACTCCTAGGAGACACGAATTTGTACCACTGTGTGGCATTTTCCTGGTTCTGACCACTGCAGGTACAGAGATTCCAAGAAATCTTTGAAAAGGAAAGATTGTGACATCTCTCTCTATTTATCAGGAGCTACCAGGACAATTCAGGACCTTCCAGAAAAGCAAAGCAGGCAAAAACTGCCCTTCTTTTATCTACCTACTGCAAGACTTGGAAAACCTCAGGAATTTTTAGAAAAGAATGTAATGTTTCAGAAGAAAAAAAAAGAAAAGGTGCAACGTTACTTAAATACCCTGCTTCTTAGTAATAATTTGCATTTCAGCTTGCCAAGAAATGACTTGAAATAATCTAGCCTCTTTCATCTAATCAGGGCAATTATCAAAATAACACCACTTACTTGTAACATACTTCAGTTACTTCACTGAGGCAGATAGATTTACACGGAAGGAAGATCCTAGAAAGAAGTAAACGCACGTTATCTTTTCAAGGGAAAAATAGAGGAATACTCTGGAAGAACGATGCAGGAGCCAGTTGCCTACAACGACTAATGCCCAGCCACCAGCCCGCTGTCCCCAGGGCTGAAGAAGCATCCCCAGGACCCGCTGAACTAGGGCCAGGCAGCGGTGGTGGGAGCTGCCTCAGCTGCCTTTTCACTTTCCCCACCTGCTGGCCATGGGGGAAAGCTGAACGGCAGCAATATATTCTAATTTTAAAGCATCCGACTCAAGCGATTCTGCCCTCACATCGAGGTGCTTCCACAGGTCATTAAGGAAGTTTCTCTACATTTTTTTTTTTTTACTGTTAAAAGTGAGATCAGCATCTTTGATGAGACACCCCAGCAAAAAAAGCAATGAAAGAAGGAGCAAAAAGTGTCTGATTTTTACAGTTTTTCAAAAAACGAAAGACATTCCCCATCTGCTTAAATTCCAAGTACATGAAAGAATACGACCACTGGGCTGAACTCAATGGAAATGGTCAATACTTATGCTTAGAGTATCATCAGACCATCGCTAACAGGTGATGTACTCACTATGGGATTTGTGTCTCTGAAAACGATCTGACAAAACAAACATTAAATAAAAGACACACAAAAAAAAAAAAAAAA